GACTTGGATTACTGTGATGTTGAATGGTTTGCCTTGGAATCGGACCGAAATCATTCTGTCATTTTTGAGATTGTATCCCAGTACTGACCCCTGCACTCTCTTGTTGACTATAAAGGCTACACCATTTTTTCTACGAGATTCCTGGCCACAGTAGTAGATATAATGGTCTTCTGAGTTAAATTCGCCCATTCCTGTCCACTTTAGTTCACTGATTCCTAAGATATCGATGTTCAGTCTTGCCATCTCATTTTTGACCACGTCAAGCTTACCTTGATTCATAGATCTTACATTCCAGGTTCCTATGCAATATTGTTCTTTGCAGCATCGGACTTTCCTTTCACCATCAGACACATCCACAACTGAGCGTCCTTTCGGCTTTGGCCCAGCCGCTTCACTCTTTCTGGGATTACTTGTACTTGTCCTCTGCTCTTCCTCAGTAGCATATTGGACACCTTCTGACCTGAGGGGCTCATCTTCCGGCGTCATATCTTTTGGCCTTTTGTTACTGTCCATGGGGTTTTCTTGGCAAAGATACTGGAGTGGGTTGCCATTTCCTTCTCCAGTGGATCACTCTTGGTCTGAGTTCTCTGCTGTGGCCTGTCCGTCTTGGGTGGCCCTTCACGGCATAGCCCACAGCTTCATCGAACTGCTCAAGCCCCCTCGCCTGTGACTGTGAAAAAACCTAGTCTTATGTTTGAGTAAATACGGTAATGTTGAAAATCTCTTGAACAAATTAGATGCTCAAAATATGTGTAGAGTTAAGATTAAGAAAATCAGCATGTATTTATCGAGCATGCATCTAGAGGAACAGAAGAAGACCTTAAGTAAGAAACAGCAGAACTCGTGTCACTGGCATACATAAGAACATAACAGAAGCCAATGTTGGATCAGGCCAATGGCCCATCTAGTCCAACACTCTGTGTCACACAGTGGCCAAAAATACCAGGTGCCATCAGGAGGTCCAGTAGGGGGCCCAGGACACTAGAAGCCCTCCCACTGTTGCCCCCCCCAAGCACCAAGAATACAGAGCATCACTTGCCCCAGCCTAAGAGCCACTAATAGCCACTAATGGATTTCTGCTCCATATGCTTATCTAATTCCCTCTTGAAGCTGTCCATGCTTGTAATGTTGAATGGATATCCAGTAAAGGCTAATGGGATCAATAATATAAAACATAAAGATGAGTTGATCTCTGAGCAACTCAGAGATTAAGGGGGAAAGATGAAGACGTTCAGTGGCCGGAGAGAGAGAGAGAACCCTTGGGGGGGAAAGGACTTGAAAAAACAAGTGAACTCGGGGAGGAAAGGGTGATGGTATCAGATCAGAGGTTGTGGAAAGGTCCAAGGCAAGAGGCACAGAGAATGGCCATTAAAGTTGTGCTGCAAGAAAATTATTAGAAATACATGTTACAGCAGTCTCAGTTTAATGAACGAAAAGAGCAAAAACTGGGTTATTCGTAGTCAAAAAAAGAGTTGGCAGAAAGGAAGGTGAGACCCTAGGAAATAACAGTGTACTTGGGCAGTTTCAGTAGAAAAGGAAGATGAGGTATCTAACGAAGAAGAAAAGCATCCAGAGTAATCTTTATAGGAGGCGGAAGGCAGAAGTGATGGTGTCCTAGATTTCAAAAGAGAAGAGGGAATTGTTCCAAGAGAACAAGGAAGGGAAGTACTGTCTTGGTGTAACGATGGGTTGGATCCAGACTCTTTCCGCTGATTCTGACTTCCTGGTGCAGACCCCCTTTAAATAGTTTTGTCAGGGTCCCCTGTTCCCCAGGAGCTGCATTTCATGGAGGTCAGTGAGATGCCGGAAAGGTCTGCTCTGCTGAAAAGAAATAGTGGAATGATGTGAACATTTGCAGAAGGCGGCAGCATAGAAACAGAAGACAAGAATGACAAGCCAGGCAGAAAAATCCTTATTGAAGAAGTGTTCACCAAAAGCCTGTGGAGTAGAGGGAGACCGGAGGGCTGGCGAGCTGCAGGAGTGACTGAGCAAGATGTTTAGGAGATGATGAGTAAGAAAGAAGATAAATACAGTTGCTTACCTTGAGGCAGAGTGAGGAAAGGCGTGGATCTAGTAAACCTAAGAAGAAGGGGTTACAGTGGAGATAATCCATAGAAGGAGTACAAAGACAGGTGAAGGGAGAGCAGCAGGTGGAGGAGCTGCTGGTGCAAAACAATCAAGTCAGAATGAAAGTGCAGAGGTGAGCAAAGAAGTGGCAGAGGCCAAGGAGAAGCACAGAAGAAATGAGGGGGAAGCCCTCCCAGAGCGACGACATCCGAGTGGCACCTCGGAGACCAGCAACATTTCCCAAAGCTTCCAAAAGTTCTCATCCCCTGGGAAATCCTGTTGGTCTCTCAGGTGCTCTTGGACTCGAATGCAGTTCTGCTGCAGACCAGCACAGCTGCCCATCTGGAACCACCTCCAGATCCAGTAACTGAACGTTAGGATAAGGACGAGAGCTAGAGAGAGACAGAAAGAGAATGGGAGTTGATTAAATAGTGACCTGAAAAGTCTGAAGGGAAAGCAGCAAAAGATCCATAATAGTCATCATGGCACTTTGTCATTCCAAGCAAGGTACAATTTTACGCCGTCTCCCCCCCACCCCCAGGCCCACCTCGGCCTGTTAATCCCAGGAGCCCAGCCCAGGCTGAAAATGCCACTTGGGCCAACCCACAGTCTTTCATGACCAGATTTTATTTTTCCTTTATAAATTATCGCAAACAGTTGACAATTTTTTCTTTTTGTAATAATATTTCATGGCATTTGTGGTTGTCAGGTATCTTTCACTTTGAATGAAGATCTTGCAAACATTGAAGGTATTGGTGGGAAGCCAACTTCTGTCAGTGCGCCCAGAGAACATCCATTTCATTTGCAAAATGTAGGAGGACAAACTTTAACTGTGTTTACAGAGAGCTCCACAGGTAAGTGATACTGAAAAGTATTGAGAGCAAATTCTGCTGAGCTGAAGGCCGCAGAGGGTGGAAGGAGACCTCCGAGCTCTCTCAGATGGGCTCCTCTCTGTGTTCTTCACTGTTGTTCATTTCCTGATTCATTTATGCTGTCCAGAGAAAAATGTCAGCAGTAATTGACAAGTGTCTGAAAATTCAGAATAAACTGGGAAGTTTGCTGTTTTTAGAATCTCTCCTTTTACATGTAGCTAATATTAGTATGACACATCTTCATCAAAAGCAGAAACAAAAAATACACGTTGATGGGGTCTGAACTGGCAGAGACTGATCAAGAGAGAGATCTTGGAGTTGTAGTAGATAACTCACTGAAAATGTCGAGACAGTGTGTGACTGCAATAAAGAAGGCCAATGCTATGCTGGGGATTATTAGGAAGGGTATTGTAAACAGATCAGCCAATATCATAATGCCCCTATATAAATCAATGGTGCGACCTCATCTGGAATACTGTGTGCAATTCTGGTCACCACACCTTAAAAAGGATATTATAGCTTTGGAAAAAGTGCAGAAAAGGGCAACTCGAATGATAAAAGGGTTGGAACACTTTCCCTATGAGGAAAGGTTAAAGCGCTTAGGGCTCTTTAGCTTGGAGAAACGACGACTGAGGGGTGACATGATTGAAGTTTATAAGTTTATGCATGGGAAAGAGCAGGTAGAGAAAGAGGTACTTTTCTCCCTTTCTCACAATACAAGAACTCATGGGCACTTCATGAAATTGCTGAGCGGTCGGGTTAGAACAGATAAAAGGAAGTACTTCTTGACCCAAAGAGTGATTAACACTTGGAATTCACTGCCACAGGAAGTGGTGGCGGCTACAAGCATGGACGGCTTCAAAAGGGAATTAGATAAGCATATGGAGCAGAGGTCCGTCAGTGGCTATTAGCCACAAGGTATAGATAGGGGCTCTGGGGCAAGTGATGCTCTGTCATCTTGGTGCTTGGGGGGGTCAACAGTGGGATGGCTTCTAATGTCCTGGCCCCACTGGTGGACCTCCTGATGGCACTGGTATTTCTGGCCACTGTGTGATACAGAGTGTTGGACTGGATGGGCCTTTGGCCTGATCCAACATTGGCATCTCTTATGTTCTTATAAAAAACCCCCACCACATTGAGATTTTGTTTACATGCATTTGTATATATATGTAAATGTTGATCCTGCCCTGTCATTAATGTTTCCAGCATTTTATAATACAAAATGGCTGCTTAACACACAACAGGAGCAGATAAGGCAAATTTGGCTTCCAAAAGCTTGGTGGAAAAGCATGCTTTTACTCACTTCCAAAGAGAATAGATGAGCCCTCCCAGATGAATGGATTCCATAGTTCTGAGGCTACTCTAGAAAAGGCTCTGCTCCTTGTACAAGACAGCTGGACCTTCTTCAAGGATGAAACTTGGTTTGAGCTTAATGTTCAGTGTAATCACATGGGTCAAGCCACTCCTTGAGATAAATTAGACCCTGATGGTTTAGGCCTTGAAAGGTTAAAATGAGGGTTTTGAATTAGACTCAGAAACTGGCTGCCAGTGAAGCTGGGTCAAAATTGGTGCAATGTGTTACTAGCAGTTCTATACCAGTGGAAGTTCCTGAACTGTTTCCAAGGACAATCCCATGCCAAGAGCCATACAGTAATCTAATCTGAGAGCTACTGTGGCATGGAGGACATAATTCCAGAGGGGTGTCTGTGGCAAAATCAAGCAGAAGTCCAGGGGCACTTTAAAGACTAACCACATTTATTCCAGCAGGAGCTTTCCTCAGTCACAGCTCACTGACTCAAGAGAGTTGCTGCTGCCAGAATCTCCTGTTCTCGGTTCAGGAGGAGGGATGTTTCTTCCTCGGGTTTCTTTGTGGGCAGCTGGGAGGGGAAAGTAGTAAGGAGTCTGCTTCCTTGCCTCCCCACCCCCTCCTCGGAGTAGTAGCCCTATGAGAAGGCATCCCTTGAAAATTACCAATTATCCCTGGCCAAACCGGCCTGGAGAAAATTGCTTCCAAAGTAGCAATCAGCATTTCCCTGGGCGTGTAAGAAAGGGCCACAAGAACTAAGCACTGAGGCAACCCTTCCTGCCCTCCCTCTCATGATCTGCCCAAGTCCACAGAATCAGCATTGCTGTCAGATGGCCATCTAGCCTCTGTTTAAAAACCTCCAAAGAAGGAGAGCTCACCACCTCCCGAGGAAGCCTGTTGCACTGAGGAACTTTTTCCGCTCTGTCAGGAAGTTCTTCTTAATGTTTAGCGGAAAACTTCTGATTTAATTTCAACCCATTGGTTCTGGTCCGACCTTCTGGGGCAACAGAAAACAACTCCATACCATCCTCTGTATGACAGCCCTTCAAGTACTTGAAGATGGTTATCATATCACCTCTCAGTCATCTCCTCTCCAGGCTAAACATACCCAGTTCCTTCTACCTTTTCTCATAGGATTTGGTCTCCAGACCCCTCACCATATTAATCCGTCTTAAATTGTGGTGCCCAAAACTGAACACAATACTCTAGGTGAGGTCTAACCAGAGCAGAGTAAAGTGGTACTATCACTTCGCGTGATCTGGACACTATACTTCTGTTGATACCGCCCCAAATTGCATTTGCCGTTTTAGCAACCACATCACACTGCTGACTCATGTTCAGTGTATGGTCTACTTTTTGCACATACTACTGCCAAGACAGGAGCTGTGGTGGCTCAAGTGGTTAAGACGCTGAACGGCAGGAAGGTCGGTAGTTCAGCAGTTCGAGACCCGAGTGTGCCACATGACGGAGTGAGCTCCCGTCTCTAGTTCCAGCTCCTGCCAACCTAGCAGTTCGAAAGCAAGAAATTGCAAGTAGATAAATAGGTACCACTTCAGTGGGAAGTTACCAGCGTTCCGTGCGCCTTGATGTTTAGTCATGCCAGCCACATGACCATGGAAATGTCTTCGGACAGCGCTGGCTCTTCAGCTTTGAAACGGAGATGAGCACTGTAACCCTAGAGTCGGATTCGACTGGCTTTCGAGCAAAGAAACCTTTACCTATACCTTTTACTGCCAAGACAAGTCTCCCCCAACCTATAATTATGCATTTGATTTTTCCTCATTGAAATTCATGTTATTTGTTTTAGCAGCTTGTCAAGATCATCCTGTATCCTGACTCTGTCTTCTACTGTATTTGCTATGCCTCCTAATTTAATATCATTTACAAATTTAATAAGCATTCCCTCTATCCTTTCATACAAATAATTGATACAGATGTTGAACAAAACAGGTTCCAGGACAGATCCTTGAGGCACTCCACTTGTCACTCCTCTCCAAGAGGGTGAGGAACCATTCACAAGCACTCTTTGGGTGCGATCTGTCAACCAGTTACAGATTCACCTAACAGTAATAGGATCCAAACCATATTTTTCCAATTTGTCATCAAGAATATTATGCGGAACTTTATCAAAAGCCTTCCTGAAATCAAGATAAACTATGTCTACAGCATTCCCCTGATCCAGCAAGGTAGTAACTTTCTCAGAAAAAGAGATGAGGTTAGTTTGACATGATTTGTTCTTGAGAAACCCATGTTGACTCTTAGCAATCACAGCCGTCCTTTCTAAATGCTCAAGGACTGTCTGTTTGCTGATTTGTTCTAAAACCTTCCCAGGTATAGACGTCAGGCTGACGGGTTGGTAGCAGTGCTTCCTCTAAGCTGTGGAGTCTTGTGAGGAAAAATTCTACTTTGTGAACTACTGGCATTAAAGTTTTGAGGGAGCGATTTGGCTACTGCAATAAATTAGTTTGCTCTGGAGCCATCCTTCCTGAGCTAAGACAAAAAAGTGTGAGCCGGAGGCTAAAAAACTGTGAGCCAGCTCACACTAACTCAGCTGAAAGAGAACACTGGTTGGTAGTTACCCGGATCCTCCTTTTCCCCCTTCTTGAAGATGGGGACAACATTTGCTCACTTCCAGTCTTCTGGCACCTCACCTGTTCTCCAAGAATTCTCAAAAATAAGGGACAGAGTCTCAGAAATTACATCCACGAGTTCTTTTAGTACCCTTGGATGCAGCTCATCTGGCCCTGAGGACTTCGTTTCATTTAAAGACACTAGGTGTTTATGTACTACCCCTCTGCTGATCCTAGGCTGCAATTCCATTCCCTCACATGTGTTCTGTTTTTGCAATATTGAGCACTGTTTCCCTAGCAAGAAAAGACTGAGGAAAGTAGGAATTGAGCAGTTCTGTCCTCTTGTCATCGTTTTCCTGTCCCCACAATGGTCCTACCATGTCCTTGCTCTTTTTCTTACTTTGAATATAAGAAAAGAACCCTTTTTTGTTGCTGGATCAGACCAGTGGTCAATCTAGTTCAGCCTCCTGTCTCACACAATGGCCAACCAGTTCCACTGGAGGACCAACAACAGGGCACAGAGGCCGAGGCTTTCATAAGAATATAAGAAGAACCCTGCTGGATCAGACCAATAGTCCATCTAGTCCAGCATCCTGTCTTATATGGTGCCCAACCAGTTCCAGGGCACAGAGGCTGAGTTCTTCCCCTGATGTGCCCCCCTAGTCTGGGATTCAGAGGTTTAGTGCCTCTGAATGTGGAGGTTCTGCTCAGTCACCTTGGCTGGTAGCCACTGATAGACCTCTCCTCCATGAATCTATCGTTGTTGTTCAGTTACACAGTTGAATCCGACTCTTCGCGACCCCATGGACCACATCACGCCAAGCCCTCCTGTCTTCCATTGTGCTCCGGAGTTTGCTCAGTTTCATGTTCATTGCATCGATAACACTGTCTAACCATCTCATCTTTTGCCATCCCCTTCTTCTTGTACCATCAATCTTTCCCAGCATCAGGGTCTTCTCCAGGGAGTGCTCCCTTCTCATTGGGTGGCCAAAGTCTTTGAGCTTCAGCGTCAGTATCTGGCCTTCCAGGGAACAGTCAGGGTTGATTTCTTTTAGGACTGACTGATTTGATCTCCTTGCAGTCCAAGGTCTTCTCCAGCACCATAA